TGGGACGGCTGGTGATAAGTGTGCGACCAAGGACGACGCACCGACAATCTCAGCAGGGGGACCATCAGCGGGGCGACCACCGGAGTAGCCACCACGGCCGCCGCCGAAGCCGCCACGGCCACCGCGGGCACCGCCACGGGAGTTGAATCCACCACGGAAACTCATTTTGCTTGGAGAGGGGTATGCACCTGAGACCTAGTCTGTGATGGGGGGGGGGAGGAGGGGGAGAAAGGAGGACAGAGGAGGAGAGGGGAGGAGAGGGGAGGAGGGGCGAATCTGTGGTCAGAGCGTGAAAAAAAAAAGGCAGGACAGAGATGGGCCTCAGGGACCGAGCGCAGGCGGAGAATAGGGCGGCAGTGCAGGGTGAGCATGCGGGTGGGGGTCCGACCGCGTGGGCGATGGACGGAGTATTGCTTGCACGTGGCGATGTGCGACGCGGGAGCAGGCCAGCCTCTTGCAGGAAGAGAGGCGAGAAGGGGGGTGGGGCAGGGAGAACAGGTACCCCCCCTCGCCCGGTCTTTTTTGCATGGAAATGGGGATTTGTCAGGGGGGAGAGGGCCCGCGCGCGAATCCTGGCGATGCACATAGCATGTGGGGATGATGAAATGCGTGTCGTCGCTCGGGTTTTCTTTTGTGGGCGCTACGGATGAACACCTCTTCCTTAAGAGCGGCCTGTTTCAGCCCAGAGATAGGCAGATGGAGGAGAGGGAGAGAGAGAGAGAGAGCACATTCGCATAGGGACAGGGATGTCAGAAGGTGTGGGGGCGCGCGGCCGACGGAGAGAGAGGGGGAGATAAAGAAGCAGGAGGGAGACCACACAGGCGGGATGCCCCGAGGAGAAAGCAGAGCGGTGGACGCACCACGGAAAGAGCCACCACCACGGGCGCCGAAGCCGCCACCGCGGCCGCCGCCGAAGCCACCACCGCGGCCACCGCCACGACCGCCGCCGAAGCCGCCACCGCGGCCACCGCCGAAGCCACCGCCACGACCGCCGCCGAAGCCGCCACCGCGACCGCCGCCGAAGCCACCACGGGCACCACCGCGACCGCCGCCGCGAGCACCACCAGCCGGGCGGGCAACCTTGCCGGCGGGCTTGGGCTGCGGCAGGAAGCGGGCCAGAGGAAGGAGCTTGTCGGAGCCGATGAAGAGCTTGTCGTCAACCTTGAAGGAGGAGGCAACGAAGCCGGGCTGCAGCTTGACGGTGAAGAACTGTCGCAAGAGGGAGCGAAAGGGGAGGGGGGCGAGAGAAGGGTGTGCACATGTCAGGACGAAGGGCGGGATGATTGGTGTGTTCCCTCCTGCTCGGCAGGGGGAGGCGGGCAGGACAGAAGGGGAATGCGTGATCCACGCACCACGTCGTTGATCGGGCCGAAAATCTCCTCAACCTTGCCAACCTGGGTGTCCTTGTTCAGGAAGATGGGGGCGTTGAAGTAGGGGATCTTCTCGTTGGTGAGCTTGAGAACGAGCTCGCCCTCGCACTGGTGGCGGAAGACACCAGAGCCTCTGCGCACATGGACGAGCGAGTGCCGGTCAGGAGGGGAAGGGCCAGTTAGTTGGAAGCCGGGGGGGGGGGGGGGGGCGGGGAGGGGGGGGGATAGGGGGGGGGCAAGGGGGGGCGCACCGACAATCCCGGGGGGGGGACCATCAGGGGGGGGACCACCGGGGGGGCCACCAGGGCCGCCGGCGGAGCCGCCAGGGCCACCGGGGGCCACCGCAGGGGG